GGGGACAGAAAGGCGCATACTTACTCAGAATAAAGTAAAAGTATCAATTACGCTACACATCTAAATGGAATAAGCTTACGGCTGAAACGGTTTCGGGGACACTCCGATTGGACATGAAGAGTTGACGCAGAACAAAACCAATCCATTGTGTAATAACGATTTCCACGTTGCAGCAGTAGGCCTTAGGTATTTGTTGTCTTGTGCGTGTATTCAGCAGACACAACCATATCGCATCAACCGGTACTAAGACCAGAATGATATCCAGCACAATTCATCTCCAAGACGAAAAAAACGACCAAATTAGACGAATAAAAGAGGGGACTGTGTGTGAAATCAGATCAATCCACAACGTCCAGGGAGGTAGCCACAACAATAATCAAACCTGGAAATGAATGGACACATGAAAAAAGGGACAAAAGGTTAATAATAAACAAGTAGTAACTGAAGGTGTATTGTAAACGTAAATTAGGCTCAAGCGAAATGACTGAGACAAACACAATGTCAATTAGTGGTTGATAACATAGAGAACATATTGTAAGTTTGTTAAACTAAATGGAAATTGACGAGAACTAGAAAGTCAATGTTTGAGCACTTTTCGGTCTTTGGGGGATAAAATATTTTTTTTTTTAACTTGGTTTTTTTTTAAAAAAAATTTTTTTTTTTAAAAAAAAAAAAAAAAAAAAAAATTAAAAAATTTTAATACATTTTAGTCAAATTTCTACTCCAGGTCATACCTATTTTTGGACTACAACTTTTTGCACAAAAAACTGACTAGTTTTTGTATTCTACGAGTTCATTATTCAACTGTTTTGTCCGTCTCAAAAAAATACTTCATTCAAGAGGCGGTCGGCTTAAGGTCATCGCCTGAGGTATCGCTGGATGACTCTTTATCCAAACCATTTGTCCCTCGTATGATAACATCTTAGATTGTTTAGACATAACTCTACTGACAACAACGTTTTGAGTAATCGTCAAATGAATAACGACACCACAACACAAATAACATGTGTAGCATTATGTACGACCTCATGTGTGACGACTCGGATGTGTTAAACGTATAAGAATACTCGCGCCAGTAGTTCTCACTTCGGGTGCCTACATCTTGCCGGTCCCCTAAGCCAGGCCTTATCAATTGGAGGGAGGTAGGTTTGAAGATAATGGGTTGTGCGCAGATGCAAACACCAACCTATGCCATCACCAACAAATCACTCATTGAGATGGAAGATGCCATAGTCGGGGTATGGTACGTAAACACACCTTTACATATCTTTGAGGTTCTCAGCATCCACGTGAACAACCAATTGTGGTGAGATCCGGATTGCACGCATTGTGAGTGATGCTTAGAACGGAATTCTGGGCAAACGCAAGAGGACTTGCATGTCCATTTACAGGTTGAAAATTTACATCTGGGAACAACTCACCACACAACTTTCCAGCCAAAAAAACCAAAAGTCAGGATTCTGCAAATACCAAATGTCAAGGGGAACTAGTTTCAGTAACTGTATTGGCGGCGGAAATCAACTTGGAAGAACTACGAAAGCCATCATCCAAGGAAGATAACAAGTGGGTTATTAACAGTTGTCTACTGCCAAAACTAACTTCGGACTCATGGCCAAGACAGCATCCGCAACACAAACGTACTGTGGAGAGAGAACAACACCAGGATTCCAGTGGAGGGGAGGAAATCATGAGGGAAGAGAATGCGGTGGAGCAGGTGGATAGGGAACACCCACTACGAAAGACACGCCAGCATAACGCGTTCAACCGAAGGGGACAAGCCACCGCAAACGGAACCCTGAAGGCACAAGGAGAGAAAGAGGAAGGCTAAGGAAAAAAAAACAACATGAGCAGCTTCGAGAAGTCGAGAACAAGATATGAGGAGGACCAATGAAACAAAAACAATGGACAGAATGGGAAAAGCGGAAGCCCCAGGGACAGACACGTTGTGGTGGAGAAAAACTGGTTGAGCGGCCGGATTGCGTTCCATCGGGGAGTAAACAGGCGTAAGAAGTAAGTAAATAGCCTTGTAGCAACGATTAAAATAAATATTATACATCGATGGGTATTTTTCTTTTTTGGCGTATATGTAGCAATTATTGTTTTAAAAAAAAAACCCCGTTTAAAAAGGATCATGAAAATTACACAGAATTAATTATCCAAATGTTGTATTTACTGTTGGCACCGTCAATTAGTAAAACATCACGAGGGACATGGATCCTTTTCACAAACTTTTAAAATTTTTTAATTGTCATAAGTTGTTCTGCTAAGTTCACGAGAAGGCATAGAGAAAAAATACAAAAAAAACAATAATTTACAAAATCAGTGAATACTCAGAAAGTTTCAGTATTAATACCTACGTTATTGTAGACCAAACAAATGTATCAATAAGAAAATAACAACTGAAAGACCTTAAAAAAGGTTTTATAACCAATTATCGTAGGGAAAACATTGCAATCTAAACTGTCGATTTACTAATAAATTGTTGAAAAACATGTTAAAAAGATGCAGGGCTTAGATTAAAACAACACATTTGGGAATACTGAAATGACGAACAACGAAAATTTCCTTATTTATAGAGTGGTTTAATGCGATAAGAAACTCGGGGAAATTTTGTGTATTGATC